GCCATATTATTGGTTTCTGAAGATTTAGCAGACATGGATTTGTCTATTTATTGCCTTTAGTAAGTGCTCTTTTATGGTTAAGTACCTTTCTTAGTGTTTTTATGAATCTCATCAGGAAAACTCAGGTTTGTAGAAATTGGAGATCCTAAAGATTTTTTTTTTTATAACTGCTTTATTGATATATAATTCATCCATTAAAGTACAATTCACTGGTTTTTAGCATATTCACAGAGTTGTGCAGCCATCACCACAGTCAATTTTAGAACATTTTCATCGTCTTAAAAAAGCTACCCCAGTACAGTCACTCTCCAGCCCTCGGCAACCACCAGTCTACTTTCTGGGTCTGTGGATTTGTCTGTTCTTGACATTTCATATAAATGGAATCATACGATATGTGGTCCTTTTTGACTGACTTCTTTGACTTAGCATAATTTTTTTTTTTTTTTTAGGAAGATTGGCCCTGAGCTAACATGTCTTGCCAACCTTCCTCCTTTTTTCCTTTTTTCTCCTCAAAGCCCCAGTAGATAGTTGTTTGTCATAGTTGTACATCCTTCTAGTTGCTCTGTGTGGGACGCCACCTCAGCATGGCTTGATGAGCATTGTGTAGGTCTGTGCCCAGGATCTGAACCCTCAAAGCAGAATGCTCGAACCCAACTGCTACGCCACCGGGCCTGCCCTGATTTAGCATAATGTTTTCAAGGTTCACCCATGTTGTAGCATGTATCAGTACTTCATTTCTTTTTGTTGGTGAATAATAGTCCGTTATATAGATATATACCACATTTTGTTTATCCGTTTATCAGTTGATGGACCTTTGGGTTGTTTCTGCTTTTTGACTGTTAACGAACCAATACTGCTATGAACATTCATGTACAAGTTTTTGTCTGAACATATGCTGTCGTTTCTTTTGGGTACCTAAAGATTTTTAAAGGTGTATAAGTCTGTGATGTACAGGTACAAAAATAATGGAGACTCTTCACTGGTGCCAGTGCTTTTTAGAAATAGAGATAGGGAGGGTGAGTTTATCTACAGCTATGCGCCATGGGTTTGGAATTTTTCCAAGTGACAAGTTTTACTGGGGCTAGTGGCAACTTTCTTCTCTATTTATGAAGAAAGTGTTTTCAAGTTAACAGCCTAAATAAACTTGTTTATAATCCTGGAAGAGGAGTGCTTACGTTATAGAGAACAGGTGTTTTCAGGGAGCTATACTCTTTAGATGTCATGAATATACAGTCAGTTGATCTGCTAATGACAAATAATTTTTCTCTATTAGAGAAAGTTCCCGAAGGACTTTAACAAGGGAACAGTTCATTAACCTAATTCTGGTTATTGTCTGTATTTAAAAGCACCATACCTGCCGTTAATTAAAAAAAAAGTTCTTTAATTTGCTAAGAATTTATTTATTCAAATTGTTCTTGTTCTCCCCAATTGGCCAAATTAAGGAGATACTACTTATATGGGTCAGAAGCCTAGTAAGATGCAAAACAATGCAATTAATATATTCTTTCTCTGAAGAAACTTAAACAGTTTCATGAAGGGAGGAAGGAATTCCTAAAGAAAATTGTTTCAAAATGAGAATTTCAGTGAGTGTCTATTGAAATGAGTGCTGAGATGCGGTAGTGTGTTTGGGGCACACAAATTAGATGAGAGTAATTTTATATTAGATACAGTTCCTTCATTTATTAATTTATTATTTAGAAAATGGGCTCTAAGCTCTATGTTTCCATTAAGACTGATGTAGGGAAAAAGGATTGGGAGGACATATAGCCAAATATTGCTGTTATTTGTGTAGGTGAGGAGATTACTGGTAATTTGGTTTCTTCTTGTACGTTTTATATTTTCCAAATTACAAAGCCTGAAATGTTTATAGGTTAAAAAAGAAAAAAAAAGACAAACCTTATACTTTCTATTAAGAGCTTGGTTTACCATGTGGAATGAAAGTGAATTGGCTGATACATTTCCAGTGGAATTTTGGTATTGGAAAAGATCTTGGAAATCACTTAACTTTTTTTTTAATGCAGTGATCTCCTTTACATTAATTATCTGTTTTTATAAAAAAATATTAGTAAGTGTGTTGGACAGAGATAGGTTGAGTGTATCTAGTGAGATTTAGAGGTCATTTTATTTTAGTATTGAGTACTTCCTTTCTATATCTAGAAGTCATGATGATACATACTTCATAAGCTGTGTGCTGGAACCATTCTACGCTTTTTACATATGATTTAAACCCCTGGTAACTCTGTTGGTTTTTATCATTTCCATTTTATGGATGAGGAAATGCAGGGTCAGAGAAGTGAGGTACCGTGTTTTAAGGTCTCATGGGTGGTATATGTTGGAGGCAATTAGCTCATGCTCTTTGCACCAGACGAATCTGTTTGGAGACCATCATGGAGTAGTTAACTTTTCCCTAAAACACGCATAGGCCCATTTTATACATCTCACCACATTTTAAGCCCTACTTGCTGCTCATATATTTATAGTTTAGAGGCACCAGTAAGAGTTTAGTTTGCATGTCTAATAATAGGAGCCCAGTACTTGATGCATAATAGGTGCTCAGTGAATGGCATGATCCTGTTCAAAGTGATCTTATTAGTTTCCTTCATTCCCTATATCTTGTTTCTGTGGATGGCATCTCCATTACAGGCAACCTAGGAATCTTAGATTCTTGCCTCCTGCCTCAAACAGTTCCAACATTATATCCATATTGCCCTATTCGATAGGCTCATGTTTCTTGCCTGGACATTTACAGTAGTCTTTGGACTGGTTTTCTGTACCACCTCCTTCCCCCGCTTCTTCCGTCTGGCTATTTTCTGTGCTGCTGCCAAATCGATATTTCTGAAGACATGAATATGCTTGTGTCTCACCTTCGCCTAAACTTTGTTTTTTGCTTTTCAGTTGCTTTTAGGATCACTTCCAAGCTCCTCCACATAGCATAATGTAGGTCCTTTGTGTTTTGAACCAGTTTACCTTTCCACTCTTTACTGGCACTCCACTTCAGCTATACTGAAGTATTTGTTAACTTTGTGAACACACATGCTATTTTTTTTTTTTTTTTAAAGATTTTATTTATTCAGTTTTTTCCCCCCAAAGCCCCAGTAGATAGTTGCATGTCATAGGTTCACATCCTTCTAGTTGCTGTACGTGGGACTCAGCCTCGCGTTGGACAGAGAAGTGGTGCCTCGGGGCGCTCCCGGGATCCGAACCCGGGCCGCCAGCATCAGAGCGCGCGCACTTAACCGCCAAGCCACGGAGCCGGCCCCACACATGCTATTTTTACAGTTTGTGCAATTCCTCAACACAGTTGTACTATTTTTATTTACGGACTTTTCTCTGCTTGTAATCCCCTTCCCCCTTCATCCACCTAGCCACGTCCTCATCTTTCAAACTTCAACTAAAGTATCTTGATCTCTGGTAAACCTTCCCCTTTACTCCCTCTTTTCTTAAAGATTGGGTGTCCTCTTTTGGTGCTACCATCATATTTGAAGTATTCAGCTCCCTGTATTGGAGTTGAATCTTTACTTTTTCCTTCACCACAAGTGCTAGGAAGCTGTTTCAGTAAGCAGATTCTTGGGCTTTAACTTCAGACTTACTGAATCGAAATCTCCAGTGATGAGATGCATTCATGTATTTTTTTAAAAAGCACTCCCGGGTGATCCTCACATATACCTTGGTTAAGAACCATTGTGATGGTTCTTTTGAAGAATCTTTCAGCTTTCTGTCTGCAGCACCTGGCAAATAGTATGTGCCTCGTAAAATGATGAATGAATGGATACATTATATCATCACGGCATATTGAAGAAACTTATTGAATGGAGTGTTTTATTTTGAAGAGTATTAAGATGTCTTTTTGAATTAATAACGTATAAGGTGTAACACTATGTAGGGTCTTGAATTCTTACTGAGAGGCTTTTGGGCCTGGAGATAAGGAGCCAGTAAGCGTTATTGAAGGGTTGCTGAAGGGTTGCGTTAACTTCTGAAGTAATTCTTATCAGCTCTGGGTTTGTGCTTTTTTGTTTTGCCTTTTTTGGGGGGGGGGGAGGAATTTCTTGAAATGGCATCAGCCATAGGCAAACAGGAGGGGCTGTAGGAGTAAGGTTTACTTCCCTTAACTTGTGAAACGTTGAAACTTTGTTTCTGTTCCCAGTCAGTATTGGGAAACAGTGCCATACTGTTTCAACCTAATACATTGTCAAGGTTCATTTCTGTTGCCAGAAATGAATATTATCTACTAGGTTCAAGAAGATAGTATCTTTATGAAGATAGAGTGAAGGTTGTAATTTACCCTCATATTGTCAATGCTTAATTGCTCTAAAGACTAGTGACTCATTTTTTCCCATTTGAAGCTTTTTAAAGAGATGCTGTTTGGGTTTAAGGTTTCTATTGGGACGTGTAGTATAAAGTACAGACACTGTGAATATTAAAATGCAAAATTTTTGTTCTATATTATGGTTATTTTAAAGTGGAGTTTTTAAAACAGCTTTATTGAGATATAATTCACATACCATACATTTCACTCATTTAAAATGTACTATTTAGTAGTGTTTACTATATTCAAAGAGTTGTGCAACCTTCACCACAATCGAATTTTAGAACATTTTCATCACCCCGAAAGAAATGCAGTACCCATTACCAGTCACTCTCCACTTCCCCCACCCCCCAGCCCTGGGCAGCACCTAATCTTTCTGTCTAAAATGGAATGTTTTTTTGATAGTATGTGATTGTTCTAAAAAATTTCATAATCTGTTTTTCAGAGTTAATTACTTTTAACAGTTTGATTCATTTCCTTTCAGACTTTTTCTACACATATAAACACAGATTCATGAATGTGTTGTAGTTTTAAACCAAATGGGATCATTCTCTCTCTCTAAATATACATTACACAAGTAGGTGTATGTGTACACACTGTAGTCTTTCCCCCCTTGGTACATTGTGGCCATACTTTGAGGTCAGTAGATACTTCTGTATCCTTTTTCAGGGCCGTAGTGCGTGGAAGTACAATAATTTATTTTGACTGTTGTATCCCCAGATTAGTGGACGTTTAGGTTGTTTTCAGCTTTTGACATTATAAACAATGCTACAGTAAACAATATTTTAGTTATATTTTTGCATTCTGGAGTCATTTCTTTAGAATATATTCATAGAAGTGAAATTGACAGATTAAACAAATAAAACATTACGTATTTCCGCAGTTTTCCAGATAGATTGTATCGATTTAAAGTTGCACCAGCACTGTGTGAGGTTCTTTGTCCATTTTTTTCTGTTGGTGTATATGTTATTTTCCTAGATTTATAAGACTGCTTTTATACGTCTTTTAACTTTATTGTGTCTTTTGCAATTCAGAGTTTTATTATTTATTTATTTATTTTTTTTGTGAGGGGGACCAGCCCTGAGCTAACATCTAATGCCAATCCTCCTCTTTTTTGCTGAGGAAGAGTGGCCCTAGGCTAACATCCATGCCCATCTTCCTCTACTTCATATGGGCCGCCGCCACAGCATGGCTTAACAAGCGCTGCGTCGGTGCGCGCCCGGGATCCGAACCCGCGAACCCTGGGCCACCGCAGCGGAGCGCACGCACTTAACCGCTTGCGCCACCGGGCCGGCCCCCGGAGTTTTAAATTGTATGTAATCAAAAGTGTTGGTCTTTTACTTTTGAGTTCTTTAACTTTACGCTCTTAGGTTCTCTCTCACCCAATCTCCATCTGGAGTTTATTTCTGTGTGTTGTATAGGCAGGAAATCGTGGTGTAATTTTACTTTTCTCAAAAGGATAACTAGTGATCCTAGCACCATTTATTGATTTGAAAGATCTCCTTTATAATGAAGTAAGTCTCCCTCCCTATGTACCTGGATCTATTTTGACTCATTTATCGATGTGTTTATTCTTATTCCAGGACTAGAATTTTTTTTTTTTTAAATCTTTATTGAGGCATAATTAACGTAATATAATGCACACATTTTAAATGTATAATTTGATAACTTTTGACATATCGAAGTATTCACCCTGAAAGCATCACTATAATCAAGATAATGACAGTTCCCATCTTCTCCAGAAGTTTCCTCTGCTCTTTTTAATTCCCTCCCAGTAGCAACCACTGATCTGCTTTCTGCCTAGGTCTAGACTTTTAATTATTATATTTTAATGGTATCTGGAATGGCATTAAAACATTCTTGTTATTTCTAGAATCACAGGCATGCATCCCCCAAGGTTTTGCACTGGCAATTTCATTTGCTTAAATGCTCCTCTCTCAGATATCTATAAAAGTTGCTCCCTCACCTCATTCAAGCCTTTTGCTTTAAATGCTACCTTCTCAGTGAGGCCTTCCAGAACATTATTTAAATTGCAACTCTGTTCCCCTTCCCTGCTTGAATAGCCTTTATCACCATTTTGTAATTTTCTCTAGTTTCTAAAATGTTTACAGTGAGGATTTATTGTTTTTAGAATTCAGAATTACATAAAGGCCATACTTTTAATGAGAGGGAAAAAAACATGTGTTTTGATTTTTAAATCCAATTTCAAGCATTGTTCCATGGCACTTATAGTCTCCAAGTTTAAAACCTAATAAATTTGCTATACCTCAAGTCCCTGTCATCTCCCAGAGGGAAAACTTGCATGCTTCATGACCTTATCGTAATACAGACTACAGGGCAAGAAACTGAAGATAGTAGCTGTTCTCAAAAAGGAGCAAATGAAGGTTTATTATTTGCGTAACATAAGGTGGAGTTCTGTAGAGAAACAAGCCACGCAAATTAATACATAGCAGTGCTTAAAAGATTCTTAAACTCTGTTTCTACCCTTATGTTCTATTTAGGAATCACTGATATTTTGATTAGTTCATCTTAAATTTTTTTTGTTGTTGTTCAGAGGAGATAGAACTCTTAAAATGTTTTTCCCCACAGATACAGTTTTGGATTATGTATTATGTTCTCTCTTAGGATCATAAAGTCCAGAATGAGCTGTTTGATCTGCTCAGTAGCTGCTGTCTTAATTATGTTGCTGTGATTTATTTGGATAGACTTACTCATGGAGAATTCCCTTTTGTGTGTGTGTGTGTGAGGAAGATCAGCCCTGAGCTAACATCCATGCTAATCCTCCTCTTTTTGCTGAGGAAGACCGGCTCTGAGCTAACATCTATTGCCAGTCCTCCTCCTTTTTTTTCCCCCTCCAAAGCCCCAGTAGATAGTTGTATGTCACAGTTGCACATCCTTCTAGTTGCTGTATGTGCGACGCCCCTCAGCATGGCTGGAGAAGCGGTGTGTCGGTGCGCGCCCGGGATCCGAACCTGGGCTGCCAGCAGCGGAGCGCGCGCACCTAACTGCTAAGCCACAGGGCCGGCCCCTTATGGAGAATTCCTTATTCCCTTACAAACTACAAACAGTACAGTGTTGAAACAAAGGAGGAGTAAGGGTTAGCATCAAGGCTACTGAATGGGGGAAGACATTTTCTAGGCCTTCTGGCTGAAGGCCTGTCAGGAAGCTCTTATTTCCTTTGCCAACTATTTGTATTGTAATGGTAAAATGAACTGTTCAACTTGAGAAACTTTCTCTGAAAAGTGTAGATTGCCTTTGTTGTTGCACCAGCGTATATTCCCTTTACATCTAAAAATATATCAACCACCTTTGTAGATATGTTGAAATAAAACAAGGGTCATTTTTATTGGCGCAGAATGTAGTTTTGTTTCTCGATATTACAGGTGAACTAAGGACTCTTTCCATGCCCTAATTCCATTCTGTGTATCCTCAAAAACAGTGATTTAAAAATCATGGGCCGGCCCCGTGGCTTAGTGGTTAAGTGTGCGCGCTCCACTGCTGGCAACCCACGTTCGGGTCCCAGGCGTGCACCGACGCACCGCTTGTCTGGCCATGCTGAGGCCGCGTCCCACATACAGCAACTAGAAGGATGTGCAACTATGACATACAACTATCTACTGGGGCTTTGGGGGAAAAATAAATAAATAAAAAAAATTGTAAAACAAATAAAAATCAAATAAAACGTTTTTCCCCTTCCATTAAAAATAATGATTTGTAGGTTGTTTTTGAATTCTAAAATCAGTAAATGCCCGTTGTAAATATTTTGGAAAGTATAGACAATTACAAAATTATAAAAATAAAAACACCCAAGAAACAAGGCAAAAAAACCCAACCACCAACTGTAATTCAGCCTTCTGTAAGAATCTACTGTTGGGTCGGCCCCGTGGCTTAGCGCTTAAGTGCATGCGCTCCGCTGCTGGCGGCCCGGGTTTGGATCCCGGGCGCGCACCGAGGCACCGCTTCTCCGGCCATGCTGAGGCGGTGTCCCACATGCAGCAACTAGAAGGATGTGCAGCTATGACATACAACTGTCTCCTGGGGCTTTGGGGTAAAAAAAAAAAAAAAAAAAAAAAAAAAAAGAATCTACTGTTAGTTTACTTTTTGTAAGATATCCATCTAGTGTTTTTATTTAGAACTTGAAAAAAGGTAACTAAATGATTATACTATATTTATAGACAGGAAAATCTTCTCTTTGCTCTCAATAAAAAGGATGATTGTTTCTTGAGCTTTACTTTTTTTTTTTCTTTTCCCCATCTGATGGGTGGTGTGAATTTTTACTGATTATTTCTCTGTTTTGGTTAATGGTTGGAAAGATTAGACTAAATTTATGGCTCATTTTTAGCAAGTGTGTAGGACTTAATTGTATACACTTTATAAACTAGGTTCTCATTTTCCCTTTGCTTTAATTTTCTCATTAGTTGAAATTATTTGATTTTTTTAAGTCATTCTAAATCCTTTGTGGAACAAGTTGAGATAAAAACATTTCTGTGATTATAGTTTTCTGTCTTTTTTTGGTCTAATAAATCAAAATATTTTCTTATGACAGAATATTTCCATAGACAGTTTTAAGGTTATATAATATTCCATTCTGTTTAATGACCTCATTCTTTTCTATAATATTTCTTTATATTGATCACTTAGGTTTCTAAATTTTTTACTATTGTAGGTGGTACTGTAATGAATATTTTTGTTTATCAATACTTGCAGTTTGAATTATTTTCTTAGGTTCTTAGAATGGGGAAAAGCCTGTTAGTCCTTTATAATGGTATTCTATCTCTTGTATAATTATTTTTTCCCATTTTTAAGATATAATTTACATACAGTAAAATTCACCATTATTTTAGTAGACACTTTTGTAGGTTTTGACAAATGCATATATTCTTGTAGCCACCACAATCAAGATATAGAACAGTTTTGACACCTTTCCCAAATTCCTTGGTGCCTCTTCGTAGTCAGCTCTTACCCCCATTCCCAGCTGATGGTAACCACTAATCTATTTTCTGTCCATACAGTTTTATCTTTTCCAAAATGTCATATACTGTAAATGTATGTGGCTTTTGAATCTGGTTTCTTTCACTTAGCATAATGCATTTGAGAATCTATATTGTTGTGTATAACAATAGATTGGTCCTTTTTATTGCAAAGTAGTATTCCATTAAATAGTTCCATGGCAGTTTGTGTGCTTTTTTTCCTTTGTTGCTGAGAAAGATTGGCCCTGAGCTAACATCCCTGCCAATCTTCCTCTGTTTTGTGTGTGGGTCGTCACCACAGCATGGCTGCTGATGAGCGGTATAGGTCCATGCCCAAGAACTGAACCCGGGCCACCGAAGTGGAGCGCGCCGAACTTAACCACTAGGCAACCAGGCCGGCCCCCAGTTTCTGTGCTTAATTTTTTTTTTTTTTTTTTTTTTTTAAAGTTTTTTTTTTTTTTTTTTTTCCCCCCAAAGCCCCAGTGGATAGTTGTATGTCTTAGCTGCACATCCTTCTAGTTGCTGTATGTGGGACTCGGCCTCAGGATGAACGGAGAAGTGGTGCCTCGATGCGCACCCGGGATCCGAACCCGGGCCACCAGCATCGCAGCGGGCGCACTTAACCACCAAGCCACAGGGCCGGCCCTCTGTGCTTAATTTTAATTCTGTTGGTTGGCTGAGGTGCTTGGTACAGTCGTTACTTGAAAGATGGCATGTGGGTGACATATTTTATTACTTGTTTTATATATTGTGTTTCTAAAGCCTTTGTACATGAAAGGCAGTTGTGTTAGGATATAAAATCTCTGGGCCATAGATTGTAGATCTTATTTTATTGTCTTCAGCATTTAGTGTTTTAGAGAACTGAGGGTAAACTGTGTATTTTTTTTCCATGCTGGGATACTTAGGGAGTTCTCCAACTTTAGGACAGTTTGATCAGGATGTGATTTTTGCATACTATGCAGGTGAGACCTTTTGATCTGTTTGTGGTTTGAGAAATGTTCCTTCGGTTGTATATTTGATTATGTTAGTTTTTTTGCTCAGGAACTATTGTTTTTAAATTGTATCTTTATTATTCCTTCATAGAAATGGCCTTTTTTATTTTTATTTTTTAATTTTATTTATTTTTCCCCGAAAGCCCCAGTAGATAGTTGTATGTCATAGTTGCACATCCTTCTAGTTGCTGTATGTGGGACACGGCCTCAGCATGGCCGGAGAAGCAGTGCGTCGGTGCGCGCCCGGGATCCGAACCTGGGCCGCCAGCAGCAGAGTGCGCGCACTTAACCACTAAGCCACGGGGCCGGCCCAGAAATGGCCTTTTTTAAATTAAAATTTTGAATTGTCGATTCACGTGCAGTTGTAAGAAATAATACAGAGAGATCCTTTGTACACTTTGCCCTGTTTCCCCCAGTGGTAGCATTTTGCAGGTAAAGTTCTGTAGTATAAACAACATGACACAGCTAGGATATTGACATTGATACAATCCACCCACTCTTACTCAGATTTCCTGAGTTTTATTCCTACTCATTTGTGTGTGTGTGTGTGTGTGTATTAAATTCAGTATAATTTTATCACTTGTGTGGGTTCATATATTTACCACCAGAGTCAAAATGCTGAAATAATTCCAAAACCACAAGGGACCCACGAGTAGTCCTTTTTATAACCGCACTCAGTTTTTCTTTGTGAGGTGGGAAGGGGTCCTCGCCCCCTCAACCACAATCTCTCCTGTCTGTCCTCCATTTGTATAATTTTGTCATTTCAAAAATGTTATGTAAATGGAACCGTTCAGTATATAACCTTTGGGGATGGGCCTTTTTTGTTCTGCATAATTTCTGGAGACGGATCCAAGTTGTTGCATGTAATAGTTCATTCCTTTTTGTTGCTGCATCGTATGCCGTGGTGTGGAGGTACCACAGTTTGTTTAACCTGTTGAAGGACACCTGGGTTGATACTAGTTTTTAGCTATTACAAATAAAGCTGCTATGAACATTCATGTGTTTTTGTGTTAAGTTTTCGGTTCTCTGGAATAAATGCGCAGGAGTGCAATTGCTGGGTCATATGGTAGTTGCATGTTTAGTTTTTTAAGAAACTGCCAAATTGTTCTCCAGAGTGGCTGTACCATTTTACGTTCTTTCCGGCATTATTTGAGTGATCCAATTTTTCTGTACCCTCACCAGCATTTGGTGGTGTTACTATTTTTTATTTTAGCTGTTCTGATAGCTATGTAATTGTATCTTAGGGTGGTTTTGGTCTGTTTTTTTCCTGATGGCTAATGATGTTCAACATCTTTTCATATGAGCAGTTATCTTTATTTTTTAATGTGGTTTTATTCTTGTCTCAGTTTTTTTTTTTTTTTTTTTTTTTGGTGAGGAAGATTAGCCCTGAGCTAACATCTGTGGCCAGTCCTCCTCTTTTTTTGCTGAGGAAGATCTGCCCTGGGCTAACATCCGTTCCCATCTTCCTCTACTTTATATAGGACGCCGCCACAGCATGGCTTGACAAGCGGTGCGTTGGTCCGCACCTGGGATTTGAACCTACGAACCCTGGGCCACCAAAGCGGAGCGTGCGCACTTAACCGCTATGCCACCGGCTGGCCCCTTCTTGTCTTAGTTTTATATGATCATAATTATTAATCAAAGTACTGAATTCTGTTTGATAGGTTTCCCCTGTTCTCTTTATCCTAAAAACATTTGTGGAAGTTCCATTTATGTAAAAGTTTGATGTGAGATCTCTGCTTAGTTTATGGATCAACATTAACTTAGGACATACTCACTTAGAAAAGTTTTAGGAAAGGCTTTTTTTTAAGCCAGATTTGGCAAACTGGCCTCCGTGCCAAGTCTAGCTTGCCACCTGTTTATGTATGACCCTTGAGCTAAGAATGGTTTTTACGTTTTTAAATAGTTGAAAATAAAAACAAAAGGAAGAATATATCACAAAAACCGTAGATAGCCCACAAAGCCTATATTATTTAGTATTTGGCCTATTGCAGAAAAAGTTTGCCAACTCCTGTTTTTCAAATAACAACTTGATTGAGATATTATTCACATACCATAAAGTTCACCCTTAATTTTATTATTTGGAGGTTTTTAGTATATTTACAGTGTTATGCAACCTTCACACTAACTCTAGAACATTTTTAGCATTACCAAAAGAAACCCTGTACTCATTAGTAGTCCTTGGTTATTTCCCCCTTTTTCAAGTTCCTAACAAACGCTAATCTGTTCTTGTCTCTGCAGATTTGTTTATTATGAATATTTCCTATAAATGGAATCATATAATATATGGCCTTTTGTGACTGGCTTCTTTCACTTAGCATGATGTTTTTAAGGTTCATGCATGTTGTAGCATGTATCAGTGCTTCATTTCCTTTTTATGGCCTAATAATAGTCTTTTGTGTGATATACTCTGTGTTGTTTATACGTTAGTCAGTTGATGGACATTTGGGTTTCCATTTTTTTGGATTATCTTTTGTTTCAATCTGTGTCCTTTTCCTCTGGATTGAGTTCCTCTCAGGTTTGTTTGCATTATTATTTATTTGGCTTACTGCTCTTTACTGCATTGTAGATTTTAATTTTGCTATGAATTTTTGTCTTTATATTTATTCTCTCCTCCAATAGGTAAATCATTTTCATAAATCTTCTCTTTTATATCTTCAGGGTGAGATTTCCTTTCCCTGGTTAAGTAGTTTTCTCCCTGTAGTCTCATGGTGACTTATTTCCTTTTGTTGTTGTTGTTGTTTTTAATTTTATTTATTTATTTTTTCCCTCAGAGTCCCGGTAGATAGTTGTATGTCATCGTTGCACATCCTTCTAGTTGCTGTATGTGGGACGCGGCCCCAGCATGGGCGGAGAAGCAGTGCGTCGGTGTGCGCCCGGGATCCGAACCTGGGCCGCCAGCGGCGGAGCGCACTTAACCACTAAGCCACGGGGCCGGCCCCTCCTTTTGTTGTTGAAATAACAGAGAAGAATCCTAGAGTTTTGGCCACAGATAGCCCTGTGAGTTGTTACATCTTCAGATATACAGCTGGATGGCAGGCTGATGTGCACAGCTCCTTCTCCACTTTTGGGTGTCTAGCAGGCTTTCATCTAGTGAAGCTTTGTTGAATCTGGGTGGATCTTTTTGTCTTTATTGCATAAGTATTTGGAGTACCCCAAACACATTTTGATCCTCAATATAGGACACTGGTTAAGAGTCGGACTCTGGAGTTAGCCTGCCTGTGTAACTTTGGACAAGTTATTTAACCTTTCTCTGCCTCAGTTTCCTCCTTTGTTAAAAAAGTGGGGAATGGAGGATAATTAAGAATTATTTCATAGTTTGAGAATTAAATAATGCACATTGCTGAGTAGGACATAGTCAGTCAGTACCAGCTGTTAGAACAGTTATTATGTATGGCATAGAAAGCTCATCCTGTTTCTGTTCTTTTTCACAGTGCTGTCCCTGTGGAAACTGCTTCTGGATATACCAGTATAACTAACCTTTTTATTTACTGTTGTATAAAATAACTACACAATGAGCACCTTTGCTTAGAAAGCTTATTCTTTATTTTGGTTATTTAAGATGTTTCTAGAAGAGGATTATTGGTTTGAAAGGTATTAATATTTTAAAGACTTCATAAATGTCAAATTTATTTTTAGAAGATTCTCTCTGATTTTTTCATAGGCATTATAGAAAATGTAGGAACTACTGAAGAAGTTTTAAGTTAACATTTGAGTACGTTACCTTCCAGTCTTATTTAGTATGTGTCTCTCTACAGAAATATATACATATCTTTTTTTTTTTTTTTTGGTGAGGAAGATCAGCCCTGAGCTAACATCCATGCTAATTCTCCTCTTTTTGCTGAGGAAGACCGGC